ATTTTGTCCTGAAGAAGAAGACACGATTGCCGGGACAAGAGCTTTATTAGCCTGACGTTTCGGATTCCTACTCGAATCCATCATCAGAGACAAAAGAGTAGAAACGGGTGGTTGTTGCACAAGGGGCTGCGGTATTTATAGAATGCAGCAGCCATGCTACCGCATACCTATGAACGTTCACGGCTTCCCCCTTCATCCGGGATTGTCACACTTGGTGTGATCATTGCTTGATGGTCGACATTTGCGTCGTTAATTGCTGCAATTTCATCACGTGCGTTGGATGTTGGCGTGATGATTGCTCGACCATCTGACGCGTTGACCCGGGTGTTGGGAAGAGTGTTCACCAGTGCGCTCCCCGCGTGGCCAATTACTCTGCCTTGACGAAGTCTCAGCACGCTGTATTGAATGGGAAGATCGTTGTACTTGTTGATGACACTATTTTGTCCGCTTAATGATGATAGTAAGTGAATTTAATACCCCTCGGCATGCATTACCAAAGAGGTATGGCATTGTCGTGTTTTTACTCCGAGGACTGTCTTAAATTATCTTGATTACCTTCACAAAACAGCTACCGCGAAGTATTTTTATTCCTTTCTCTGGCACATACAAATAAATATCGGCAATTATTTTCTTTTAGCACAATTCCTCCCCGGAGTAAGTAACCGCGGCCATAAATCATATCCTTGCCTACACCGCGCGAGCCATCTTATGAAGCCTGATGGCAGAACCCAGCATGAAACTTTTCGGATTTTGCGCATTTTACTCGCTCGTCCAGCCTCTTTAAAGAATTACCCTTTGTTTCTGCTTGCGTTTAGGCAATTTTATCAAGCAAACTGTTCAAAAATTTAAGCCAAAATTAAGGAAGGCAAGGTTTTATGCTAACACTTGACCTAGGCTTCCATTGCAGGTCAGAGTGTGCTTTTCTTTGGGAGGAGGCTGATTTGCTCTCGAGAGCTTTACTAAACAGAGCTTGTCGCACTTGAAAATCGACTTTTTGTCCGACGCAACCATTTGTGACGCTTTCGGGATTTTCCGCTCTTCTAAAAAACCTGGTATTTCTAAATAAGCAACACTGTCCTTTAGCATTTCTTTTATGATTTTAAATTCTCTTAAGGTTGTTAGTTATTAACATAGCTACTGGGTTCATTAACTGGTGTCGGTCTGCGAGTGATTAGCAATCATTCATAAATTTCGACACCTTTCAAGAGTTCGGTAAGCTACTGCATTTCTCAGACTTATGACTTCACGCCGCCCCAAGCACAGCTCCCAGTTTAATCACCCGTTGACCGACATGCTTAGACAGTCGACCGGTCATATATGACTGATCACCACGCGTTGACCGCGAGGGCTCTTGTTTGAACTGCAATGGGATGGGCAGGATCTCTAACCCGATCAGATAACTTTCCTCCACCACAATTTTTCTTTTCAATTAAAACGGTCTTACGGTCACGGGGAGAATAATGCGCGCGATTTTTGAAGCAATTAACGATTTTGCTACTCTCAGACTTCGATAATTAAAAGACATGCCATTTTTCCTGCCGCCAAGACACAATTATAGAAAGATATTTTACCGGCAATTTTCAGCCTCTACAAGTGTACGCGCTTGATTTCTGTCTCTCTTGTCCCCTCCCCTCTGGCCTAGACTGCCATACAGAATGCTTCGATTTTTTGTAAACTTTAGAAACAACATTTTTTGGCAACTCATTCCTGAAAGAAATAGAAAATAAGCTCTGTGCAGCTCGTTATTGATAGCGCAATTAGGCATTCTGTTGCCGGGGTTACTGAAGAAGACAGGACGAAATTTAGATCTCAGGGAACTTTTGCAAGGGAAAAAAAGACTTTAAAGTCTCGTGTATGATAAACGCCTTTTGCAAATACGTCAGTTCGCAAAAAAAATAAGAGGCTTAGCCCATTTTTTTCTCATACGCTCGACAGCTTTCCTAAACATGCGTGATTTTTAAACTCGTGAGGCGCTCAGTTTTTTAAAAGACGTCACCAATTCTATTTACTGTAGTAGCCATCCGCCTTTAGGCCATCGATTTCCTGAGCCCAAGCATTCCCAGCCTTGAACTTTACGACCTTAGTAATAAGGTGTTTTTTGCTGGTAGTCATGGTTCAACAGGTTTGCTAAGAGATATCGCGTGACGGGTCGTCGAGTATATAGAAGGCAGTCAGGAGGCGTAGAAGCTTAATAAAAACGCCTGAAGATGGATCGAAAATCCAGGGCCATTTAGTTTAACTGCGCAGGTGAAAAAAAAGATCCACAAATTACTTCACATCTGATTTGTGCGCATATCTAGCGCTTAGAACACTCCATTTATGGACTTCCGCCAGTAGGCCATCAGAAGCCCCATAGTCCCCAATGTTTCTCACGCCACCTAATTTGTTCCATGGCCAGACCTGATATTCACTCACCATGTTCGCTTAGTTTTTGCTTTTAAGTGTCACATGTGAGCATTTAGCTCCCAAATTCATTGACTTAAAGTTCCGCAATTTTTGGATTTGTATTTGGTTAGATCGCAGTTGGTAGCCAGGAATGGGGAGCGGACGGCGACCTTAACCCTAATCCCGACCTTAAACCTAACCCTAACCTCAACCTTAAACGTTAACCGTTAACCCTAACGGCAACCCTAACCCTAAATCTAACCGAAATCCTAGACGTAACCGTAGCCCTTAGACAGAGCTGTAACTGAGAGGCCTAACCGTAATGCTGAAACCTATTCGTACGCTCAAATCCTAGCTGTAACCTCAAAACCTAAGCCTAAAGGCATAACTCTAACCTGGAAATCGGAAACCATTATCCGGTACCCCAATCCTAAACTAAAACGTAAAACGGAAGCCAAATGGGTCATGTGAGAGTATGGAGCCCCACAAAATAGCCCAGTAAACAAACCCCAGCCATCTGTAATACGGGACCTGGCTACCAACTGCGATCTAGCCTTGTATTTTGCTAAAAATTAGATGGTCCTTTTTGAATTAGGTCTTATTAATACCGTAAGTCACATTTTTGTTTCACTTTTTCTCAACTGTGGAGCTAGGAATCGATGCCTTTTTTCCTCCATAAAGGTTTCTTACATCTCAAAGAACAACTCTGCCTGACAGATGGTATTTAACTGTTGAAAGTGTGAGTGGTTTGTCGTGAGAGGCTTGGGCTTAGCACTGTGGAGCGATACAAACGGAGAGGACACAGATGTTTCCCTGTTTTGCGGTCCACAGAAGTGAAACGGATTGCGAGATGCTTGGAGGAACAGCACAAGACCGAGTGGACCATATTCGTTTTAACCTCGGCCTCGCTGATTGTTTAGCCTCGGCAGTCACTGCGTTTACATCCGCGAAAACTTACGGATACTGGTTCGCGCGTGGCACGCTTAGACAGTCTGTTAGGTTTCTTCAGCCACTGAGCCCGCGCCAACCTCCAGCCGTCTTGGCATTGTCTTGCCATAAAAGTGCGATAGATGCTGCGCAAGTCTGCCTCACTATGGACTAACCCACGCTTCAGTCAGTGACTCTGCGCACACCAGGCTGTAGAGCATGTGGTGGACCTCGTCATTTGCGACGGTAGGATTGTCGCCTTTTCCAGATCGAGGAGTGCTACTCTTCCATGACTACAGAAAGATTCGGCAGCTACTGACAGTCAGTAGGAGGACGGCAGTTCTTAAAACTCATCGATTCCGACTCCGTTCTCACATGCCTCCCTACGTGGGTTTGAGTGCGACTGGCTGCTAATAACAACAGGCCTCCATCAATCATTGGGTGTTTGCTTTCATTAGACAAGCTGCGCGACCTCTAGGCTGAAACGCTGGGCCGAAGAAAAACATGTTTTTATTCCCTCATTCAGTCAAACCAGATGGGCAACCGTCAAACCCCAACGACCTATTCAGTTCGGACACGGGAATATGGCTCCCTCAATCCTAGGGGTAACTTCTCGACAGATTCCGGGGGCTCCTATTCCCGTGTCGTAATTTGAATTCCTCTACATTAACTCTAACCTTACCACAAATTCTAGCTCTAGCATCCGTGAAATTTCAGACGAGGCTACCCTACTACGGGGCATCTATACACCTGTGACCAATTGATGTGCAGAAGTTTGCAAATTACTGTACGACTACGAAGGACGCTTGTCCAGTACTGGCGTAACTTTCTGTTGCGTATATTTCGTTTGATTTTCTGTATTGATGTCAACCACCATATGAACGTTTCTGAAGATTTTCCATGGTTCCATGAAATTTCTCCCAGACTCCATATCTACCGTGGACAAATTGCGTCCATCGAGGTGCACGGAATATGACAATCCCAACATACAGTCGTTGCCCCCAACCTTCTTTTCCTATCCATGGCCAAACGCAAACTTTTAGAGAATTGCCGTCTTCCGATAACGATTCCTATTTTACATCCGTCACCTTTCTCCCCCTCTTTCATACGCGTCCTGACACAAATATTCCATCTGTAGTGAATGAAATAGACGCCCAGTCGCGTTGATTATTTCTCTAATCATTTTGAATTTACGAGAAATTATAGAAAACAATCGTTCAGTAAAATGTCCTTTCAACCCTATGTTATCGGCCTTCGTTAAAGGAAAACGAACGTCGGACGTTTAGTTTCCCCCAAAATCGAGCTCTTCTAGGGGGTGGCAAATTTGTTCATTAAACATGACTTTTGTCACTGAAGCCGAAATTAATGAATCTCGCCTGCCCATTTATATGCTTAGATGGTAGTCGGTGGGTTAATTCATATTCCCCAGATCATTCATCTATATGACAGAATTTGTACTAGCCGGGAATGATCAGCACTAAGAGCTACAACGAGGGAGTAAAAAACTAACGTTTTTGCAGCCGAACATACCTTTAGGTTTGAAGCATCTGCGAATCGGAGCCCGTTTTGTGTTATTGTGCTAGTTACGTGTCCCAGGGTTTGGGTCATCTGGCTTGATTGTAAACCTCGTGAAATGAAACATGATATATATATATATGTATAAAATAATTTTTATTTCAGAGCTGACACTAAGCAGACTTGTAAAGCAAAAACGCCCATTCTCCGTACATAAAGTGAATGAAAGTCCCATCCTGGTGCGTCACATAGCTGAAAAAAGATTAAATGTGCGTTGTCAGTTAAGATCTTGCTTAACTGTGGCCTTTTTCGAGGACATCTTTCAAAACATGCAAATTTCATTTAGAGAGGACGCTTATTGACATGCCGAAGTGTTAGGGTGAATATTTGGGCATAAATTAAGTAAAATCGTACTCATGATGAAGGAAATGAGAATTTCAAACAGGCAAAAGGGTCTACTTAATTGCGACTGCAATGCTATAGATAATCTCCTTTTATATACGGCGACAGTTCTGCAGTATGAAACGTAAATCCAAATTTGCTAAGCGTGATTACGATGGAGCACGATGGCAATCTAATCTCCGGTTTTTAATTTCTTTTAAATTGAATTCAAAAGCACATCATCCGGAGTGAAACTTTATAGAGCCCAACTCGAAAGTTGGTAATTACATTTGAGGTGAGATGCATTATCCCAGGGAAATGCCGGCGTACTACTCATAAACTGCAAACATACAGCCAGTAGTATTAAAATTTCGTGTGATTTGTGGGAAATAGGCATAAAAGTATTCATTTTATGCTTAGTTGAAAGCAAATTGCGACTTTATTTAATTTTTTACTTGAAGAAAGGGCATAATTCGGTTTTAAAAACGTTTCCAATTTCCAAACAATTTTTAACACGACTTGCTGTTACACTTGCATTCAGGGTTTCAAAACTACAAGCTGTTTATTTTCGGTGAACGGAAAATCATACATTTCTATACGATATTAGGAAGAGACTTTATGAAGTTCAGAAAATTTGGATCATTTTGTAAACTTTACAAGCAACTTTAGTAAATGTAAAGACGATGTTTTATGAACGGGCATTTTACGGTCTTCAAAAATCTCATAAGTAGAAGCTTTTTAAAACCAAATTATACTTTTTCCTTCAAGTATAAACTTTGAAGACATTAAATTCTACCAAATGAGTAGAAGGATGAGTATTTTTACGCATGTTTTCTAGGGAATATATTTAAATTTATAGGTTCATCAAAAATAAATGAGAAAAATTCATACTATTTAAGAAGTATAGGAAAGAAGTTCATTCAGAAGCCGGCAGCCTGAAGTAACTAAAATATCATGAAATTCTACTGCAGGGGGATTCCTGTCACAGCCGAGTCGAAAACGCATTTCAGAATTTCGGCATACATTTCATGAGTTAGCATATCTACTGTACATGCATGTACTCATCGACTAGGTTAGGACGAATTTAAACACTTGAGTAATCTTTTTGAGTCGGAAATGCATTTCAGAATTTCAGGTAGCACTTCATGAGTTGGTATATTTACTATAAACCGCCTACGGTGCTTATTTGGAGTTGCCTGTTCCTCCCATGAAATATGCACAGAAAATACATCTTTGCCGTTTGCGTTAGGGGGAATTACGTTTTCTTCACTCTTCGTATTTAGAGCGTTTAAAAAGGTGCGCGGTTGTAATTCGTTTCACAATGCCTTCATGACTCGCTCGCGGCGTATAGTCCACGAGCTTACTAACACTGTTGCCCCTTACACGGCGTTAGTCATTCTTATTACGACATTTTAAGAGAGCCAAGAATGCGTAAAAACCCGTCGTGTTTCACAGCCTACAAGAATCCGTACGCCTTAATGAACAAAATATTATGCTTTCTGAATGGTCACGTTTGAAGAAGACGTGATTCTCAAAAAACGATGCAAAGATTTATATTTAAGGGGGAAAAAGCACACTCCAAAGTCCTCTATTCGGTCCCTTTATCCATACCACTGAAAAATTCAACCACTCTCGCACGCACCTGCATGGTTCTCGACCATGCAACTTCCCGGTAGCCTTGGAGGCGTTCTGGACAAGTCGGTAACAAAAGCAGCACCCACTGTCAAGGTCACCTACAGTAGGTGGGCTAACTCATAAAATGCCGAGCAAACTTCCGAACTGCGCTTTCGTTTCGAAAATATTAATTAAGTAGCGTTGTAAAACTAGTCCGCCTGCAACATAATTCTATAATATTTCAGTTGCCTCAGGATGCCAGCGTTCGAATGAACTCCCTTCCGGCTGCATGCGAAAAACTGCACTCTGTAAAAAATGACTACTTAAGTAGCTTGAATTTTTCTCGTTGATTTTTAAGGCCTCTAGAAGTCCAATTATATTTCCTGGAAAACATGCATAAAAATATTCATTCTTTTATCCATTCGGTAGATAATTACGTCTTCGGCTAATTTTATACCCAAAGTAGGAACATGATTCGGTTGTAAAGAGATTTCTAACTGCAAGACTTTTAAATACCGTGAAATGACCGTTCATAAAGCGTCATATCTCTGCATTTACCAATGTGGCTTTTAAGGTGGACAACATGGCTCAAAGCCAATGCTACATTTTATGAACCCAATATGGCCTCCTCTCAATACCGTAGAAAAATGTGTGGTTTTCTGAATGGGGAAAATATATGACTTGTAGTCTGGAAACCCTGAATCCAAGTGTAACGGCAGGTCGAGTTCAAAATTATTCGGGAATTGGAAAAGTTTTTAAAAACCGAATCACGTCCCGCCTTCGAGTATAAAACTATAAGAAGACGTAGTGTTCTACCGAATGAGCAAACGAATGAATATTTTTATGCATGTTTTCCAGGAAATATAATTGGACTTCTAGAGGCCTTAAAAATCAACTAGAAAAAGACATGCTATGTATGTAGTCATTTTTTACAAAGTACAGATTTTACATGCAGCCGGTAGGAAGTTCATTCGAAAGCCGGTATTCTCAGGTAACTGAAACATTATAGAATTACGTTGCAGGCTGACTAGTTTTACAACGCTACTTAATTGATCTTTTCGAAACGAAAACGCATTTCGGACTTTCGGCTGGCATTTCATGAGTTTGCCCACCTACTGTACGGTGGGGACACAGATCCCCGTTTAGAACTTATTTGCAAAGGACAACTCATGTCTTCTTCACCTGCCGAATTTGCGACCCACCACACATTGCCAGGTCCGACCAAAGCGTTCATCAAAGGCCTTCTTCACGTAGATGGCCATGTCCTTCTCTAGACTGAACTGTTCCGACGCGGCGACCCCGGTGTCCACTGCTATCTGCTGCCAGTCCTCAGTCATGTCGGAGATGCGGACCACGGGTGTGGAGGGCAGGGGACGCTTTGTCGTGGGGACTGCGGTTGCGTTCATCGCGAGCGCCGGCGATGTCACAGAGGGGGGGGGCGAGTTAGCGAAAGTGGGAGAAGGAGGAGGCGGAGGCGGAGGAAGGCTACGGAGCGAGAGGAGAGTGTGGATGTCAGGAGTCAAGTAGGTGTGTTTGTGCGCGCGCCCTCGAGCGAGCAAGCCTCCGCTGAAAAGTCGTCAGCTGCCTGCGAGTGAGTGGCTTACGAGAGTGAGGGGCGACGCTCTTTGCTGGGCGCGCTGAATATCACGGGGTTGGGTTTGAGTGGGGCAGAATGAGTCGCACAATCCTGTCCTGTCGCCTGTCCAGGCAAGTTGTCAACAGGTTCTGCATGAAAAAAGAAAACATGCGCATCAATTTTCTATCTGAGTTTGTGACCTTTAAGGGAGAGCTCCCTGTGATTGATGCTAAGGCTACCAGTTACAACGCTTTGAATGAAAAAACGGGTGATGGTAGGGTATGTAACCCCCCTGGGTGGCTACTTTAAAGCCCACCTGCTTATCTTAGTTAGTTGTGCTCTATAACGGTTTGCCTGGCAGTAGATTGCAATAGGGGCTATGTAGGAAGCGGATTTTGATCTCCGATAGCGATATCTACATGGAAGTTGGTTGATTTAAGCTCACTTTTAGGCTTTATGTAACGTCGTTAATCGGCAAGCTGGGTTATTCTTGAGACTAGGATTGCCAGGCTAGAGCTGTGGTTTGGATTTGGGGCTGAGGCTTAGGTTACAGTAGGTGGGTTGACTCATGAAATGTCAACAAAAAATCGGTAATGCATTTTCGTTTGGAAAAGACTAATTAAGTAGGATTGCAAAACCAATTATCGTGAGACATAATTCTATAATAACTCAGTTACCCCAGGACGCCGGCTTTCGAACACACTTTTTGGCTGCATCCAAAAGCCATACTCCGCAAAAATTACTACCTAATTAGCATGTTTTTTCATTGATTTTCAAATCTCTTAAAATTTCAACTATTTTTCCTAGAAATCATGCCAAAAAATATTCATTATTTTGCTCATTCAGTAGAAAATCACGTCGTTTTTCAATTTTACACTAGAAGGAAGGCTATAATTTGGCCTTAAAAAGTTTCTTATTGTGAGATTTTTTAGTACCGTAAAATTGCCCTTCATAAAACGTCATGGCTCTGTATTTACTAATGTGGCTTGTAAAGTTAAAAATTTGGCTCAATTCCACTACTTAATTCTATGAACCCTATACGGTACCCCTTTATTACCATAGCGAAATGTATGGTTTTCTGTACGCGGAAAATATACGGCCTGTAGTTTAGGAACTCTGAATATAAGTGTAAAGGCAGGTGGGGTTCAAAATTATTCGGGAATTAGAAAAGTCTTATGAAACCAAAAAATACACTGATTTAGAGGGTAAGTTAAAATAAGACGTTATTTTCTACTAAATGAGCAAAAGATTGAATATTTTTGTGCATGATTTCTAGGAAATATAGTTGAATTTTTAAGGGCATCGAAAGTCTATGAAAAAATGCGTGTTACTTAAGTATTCATTTTTTACAGAGTATGGTTTTTGGATGCAGCCAAAAAGTGTGTTCGAAAGCCAGCGTCCTGGGGTAACTGAATTATTATAGAATAATGTCTCACGATAATTGGTTTTACAATCCTGCTTAATTAGTCTTTTCCAAACGAAAATGCATTACCGAATTTCTATTGACATTTCATGAGTTAGCCCACTTACTGTAAGGTTTTAGGTCTCGACTTAAGAATAGTGATTTCCCATTTAGGACATGCCCAGGGTTGGTATTGGGATTGTGGCTAACTATATCCCCCCCCCAGGGGGTTACATACCATACCTTTGCCCACAGGTGGACACTGGAACACTAAAGGACTTCCCTCTCTCTGTCTCTCGGCACGATGTCCTTCTCTTTCCTAAAAGGCCGATCCACTTCCACCACTTCGTGTGCTCCGGTGCGCGCAACTTTAAAGAGTCAAGGGTACACTTAGAAGTTGTTACTGATGTTAAGATAATTTCTGACTAATAATGTACCACAAACTGCAAAGCGCACATTCCCGTTGGACGCTGGGATAAGGGCTCCCCCCTTCGAGTTAAATTCCCGGGCGGGTGATACCTGTTCTTGTGTCCTAACGCTAACCCCAGAACTAGTCTCAACACTACCGTTAACTCCTCCGCCCTCCCAGAGGGATGCCTAAACACTAGTCCTGATGAAGAAAGAGACACGATCGCCGGGACAAGAGCTTTATTGGCTTGACGTTTCAGATTCCTACTCGAATCCATCATCAGAGACAAGAGCAGATAAGGGTGGTTCATGCATATGCGGCTGCAGTATTTATAGGATGCAGTAGCCATGCTACCGCATACCTATGAACCTTCACGGCTCCCCCCTTCGTCCGGGCTCGTCGTACTTGGTGTGATCACTGCTTGATGGCCGACATTCGCGTCGATAACTGCTGCAATTTCATCATGTGCGTTGGATGTTGGCGTGATGATTGCTCGACCATCTGACGCACCGACCCCGGTGTTGGGAAACGTGTTCACCTCTGCGCTCGCCGCATGGCTTGTTACTCCGCCTAGGCGAAGTTTTAGCACGGAGTATGGAGTGGGAAGATCGTTGCACTTGTTGATGGACTGGGGGGCAGTAAACCATGAATCCAGTAGCTCCCGGCTCGCGCGGTTGTCACCGCTTGCGAGAATTTCGGCCTCATCTAATTTGAATGTGTGGCCGGATCTCGTCGAATGAGCCGCAACTTGAGAGCTGGATCCTGGTATTATCTTTAACACCAGCAATGACCCTCATAACCCAAACCTTAAACCTAACCCCCCCAAAGTTTGGAACAATGCCACCCGTAGTATGGAGGTTCCATCTTCTTTCGTTTCACCCAGGTTCCATATTTTAAAACTGGAAATGAGTCATGAGCGACGATGTCAAGAGGCCATTCCGAAATTCACATGCATAACCATTTATGACGTTTTGTGAGGTATATCTCGAAGTGGGAGTTTTACCGACACGGATAGAGGTGACTGGAAAGGTCAATTACAAAGTCTTTACTATTGTAAACCTGAGATTCATACCCGGGTCAGATGATCAAGGGCCAAGGGCCTCACAGCTGCCCCGCCGTGCTCGCGTCATGTCGGCTGAGATCGGGGGTAAACAGTCATATCAAAGTAGTATGCACCGACCTGTCCGGATTGTAGGGCGGAAATAGGCATTTTTGTTTTGCCCTGGAGTTGCGAGTTTAGAGCGTACACGGACGGTCGCATAGCAACTGGCGACAAAAAATGCAGAAGTTTCTGGCATGTCTGTCATTATTAGCTGATCATATCCGAACCTGCAAGGACCTACAGGGTGCAGTTTATTGTGGTCATTTTGGAGGTGCCTATTTCCCCAACTCATGGATAGGGTCCACGGAGTTTTTGCCGTTTAGGTCGTTGTCGTCCAGGGGGTCGAGTATCTTGATGCAAATCCCCACTTCAAATCTGGAGTCTCTTCGCCCAAATTGTCACTGAATCGGACTTGCAGTGTGACACTCCAGAAGGAGAAGTGTTTCCTATCGTGTTGGGACCACTGAGACCAAATATGCTCGCGCACCTCCCCTTGGTCGTACTTCATCCTCATTATAGACCCTTGAAGGCTTCTCGCAGTATGACACTTCTGTGGAACTAGTATTCACTGTTGTGCAGGAAGTGTTAGAACCAGCTAGACACACGCATCTCCTCTTGGTCTTCCTTCTTTCACATCACTAGCCAGCGGCGATGCCAGGTCATCGGTCACTCCAGGGAGTTCGCCATCCACAGCAAACATCGATAGTCATCCTCCCCTTTCTACCTCCGCTCGTATTCCCAGTCTTGTGGATACTGACTGACGTCTTACCGGTCACCCCTTCCTACCCCGCCTGGGGGCTGGACGCTAGCAAAGTGTCCACTTCTGCCCGCAGCACCTGGTAAGCGGGCGGTGATTCAATGTTTCTGTCGACGGGGTCATCGCTCAAATGCTACGACTTCCTCAGTCGGCGCGGACATCGGTTACTTGATTGGACCATTAATGAGATTCGGACTATGGAACCCATAGCAGCCTCCTAGTTTCCACTCTTTTGCTGGTCTCGTCAGTACGATATGGTTCATGCGTCACTTGAACACATATGTTCACAGTCGGAGAAAGCTCTGACGGTTTTGCCGAGTCTCAGAAAACCCAAGGGGGAGCGAGAGAAGAGGGGAAAGACGCGCAGCAAAATGGCTAAATAACTGAGTTGATTAACTGTCAGTTCGACCGCTGCGAACGACGACAGCGTGTTTATAACAGAACCGGTGACTGGCTCGTGCATTCGCTTGAAATAAGGCAGGCGTGCGCAGCATCTACCGCTCTCTCTCTCTCCTTCAACTTCCACCTTGCTCTGATGGAAAGAAAACCTCAATACGACCGTGGGTAGGTGCGATCGCGGAGAAAAACATAGTAAGAAACCCGTCATCTACGCGTTCCACACACGACCCGGCCCCCGGGGCACGTACCAGACCACAGTAGACGAAGCTCAGATCCCGCCTAAATGAAAGTGTCATATGGACCACACAAAGAGGGAGTCACCGCGGATTTACTCTTATTTCTAAGAAGACTGGGCTACAGTCTCAGCTGGCAGTTTTCCACCCCGCCACATTTGGCGCGCCAGGATAGATTCAAGCACGTAATATTTACTGTAGTGAGGAATGCACCAATGTCCCATCGGGATGAATTTCCTAATGCCGACGTTACTAACCCTTTCCCTCCCCCTTACCACGCACCAATCGGCTGTCCGAACTCGTCAGCCAATGGGCGGTGAGGCTGAACTGAAAAGGCCCAATGGAGTGCCTACGAATGTCAAAATTCCCAGCCAACACAGGACGGACACGAGGGCTTCTCGACGGTTGAAACGCTATCGGTCGTCATGTCGATCTGAACGTCTTCTACGAAGGCCCACTTGCATAGCTCACTGTCTCACCTTGCACTTCGTAACTCAACAGTTGCTGCTCCATATCCGACAGTTTGGAGTCTCATTAAACCGGCAGCCCGTCTTACGCTCCCTCCTCCCAAACTCGCCCTCTCTCACCCCTAAAAATGCGCATTGTTTAAGAGACATTCCCTCTTCCTTAGGCAATAGTGTGGTGTTTCCACATTCCCTTGTTTCATTTCCCCTAAAACTACTTTTGGGTTAGATCGCAAACGGTAGCCAGGAATGGAGAGGCGGACAGCCAAGTCTCTGTCGTACGAGAATGGTGAGAAAGGGGGTTATATGGGTGGGGTAAATTAAAAGGCTGGTAGAGGAATGCTGGAGTTTCTGGATAAAATTAAAGTTACCAGGGAAAGAGCTGGGAAGATGTAAGTAGGTGTAATAATGGCCAAAATCTAAACCCTACGCTTAAGCCTAAAAATCAACCCTGCTAGCAAGAGCAAAATCTAATCCTAAGCCTCAAAACCGAAAAGCGACCAAGATCATAAAACCCAACGCTAACCCAAAACCTAGTCATATACCCAATCCTAAACTTGACCCTTACCCTGATCTTAACCCTAAACCTGACCTTAGCCCTAAACCTAACCTTAAGCCTAGCACTAACCCTAGCCCTAACGGGAATCTAAAACCCTAATCCTAACACTTAAGCCTGACCCTAAAACTTAACCTACGCCTAAACATAACCCTCACTAGACCCAACAGCCTGAACGAAACGGGCAACCTGCCTAACTCAGCAAGAGCACACCTACTGATAACAAGTCCCCTAGACAAGGTAAGCACACCTACTGATAATACGTACGTACGTGGACAGTATCAACTTATAATGTCTGGCAACCAACTGCGACCTTACCTACTTTTGTGTAAGCAAATTGAAAATCCGCAAGCACAGCACGATCGATTTGAAGGGGCTCCTCATTTTCATCGATATATTTGCATACACATATACAGTGACTGAGAGTTAACACACAGCCTGATAAACAGCAGGAGCGACTTTGCATATTTCCTGGGGAAGTCTTGACGTCGAATAACCGGCTCCTCTCCGGTTAGGTAAGGACTCTACGACATCAAGGGATAGTGTTCTGACCGAGGTCAATCTTTACCAATCCTACGTTAATTTGGGGTAGCGTAGCCGTATATCTCCAACAAAGACAACGCTCGCAAGCACCAGTAGACATATGACTCCCTTGATAAACTGCACACCATCATAGATTACTTATAAAATGGGACATTACATCGAAATAATTGCAAGGAGAAGGTTGTTTCGTCTTTAGAATTGTCATTCCCGTTGTAGTAAGCAACAGTCTAGCGTTGCTAAGATTAAACGGTTCGTCGAGTTCAAGGCCATACCGTTTAGTTGCACAATGACTCACATCTACTTGACTGCACTTGCAAATCACTAGCGACGCTGTTAGACCCACACAATTTTCTCACAACTTATTTGATAAACGCCACAGTCCTTCTTCGTTAAAAAAATATTTTCATAACGACAGCACCCTACACTGCAGGAAATCTAACAATCAGTGCAATTTGCAGCGAAATAAAGCATGAACGCTGAGTTTTAAAACCGGGACGCAGAAATTGCTAAATGCTCATTGCAAAGGCCTCTAGCATTGTCATTTTCTAACGTCGAGTACTTCTCCGAACAAAGTACCTACCAGGAATTACTGCAAGAAATCGACTCTGTAAAACGTCATTAAACTCTTTAAAGTTAAAATTTTCTGGATGTTCTGGACTAAAGGCTCATCTAGTGCCTAGTCTGCCTCAACAACCGTCACAGCTGAGCAGACCGTGACTGAATACCGCACCTAACCCGACATCTATACAGCCGGACATGCCGCCTACGCCATTATACTGGGACAAACTAAACTGGCAGCAATAACTGCAACAAAAAATGTGATTCAAATTCTCACCGGAGCTCCGCAAACGCTGGGGGAAGTAAGGAGTCGTGCTGATCGCCACCACGGCTCTCTCTCTCTCTCTCCGTGTCGTCTGCGCCGGCAGTCCACGTGCTCACCACTGGTTCGCAGAGCAGCATGAGCAATGCTTCTGGTGTTTGCCCTGCTCTGTGCGTGCGCCACGAATCACCTTTTGGCAGCATGACGACTCCACAGACTGCCACCCACAGGCTCGCAGGCTCGTGCACCAATCGCAGGATCTGACTCCCACCTACAACCAGCGGATGACGCCTGGGCTCTTCACAGATGTGTGTTGTGTGTGTGTGTCGATTGCAGTGTCACTTGGGGGCGGTTGCACCGCCTCAGTTTGTGCTACGTCGCGTGAGAGTGGAATGCAAAATAGGGGACCTGGATGTGTGGAGGTCGTTTAGCTGGGAATTACGCAGTCCTATCCTGAAGGAGCGAATGAGGTGTTGACTGTGGGTAGTTTCTCAAGCCAACCATGCATGCAGTCTGGCGTCATGGCAGTAGCAGCAGTACTATCAACCATGAGAATGGCAGCAGTTGTTGTTGTAATAGCATTATTAGTTGACAGGAAGTAGAAGCCATCACTGGAACAAGGGCTTTATTTGTCTGACTTCTCGGATTCCTGTTCGAACCCATCATTAGAGACAGAAACAGATACGGATGATTTGTGCACAGGAAGTTGCAGTATTTATAGAACGTTGTTGCTATGCTACTTTCCTACAACTTGGGGTTGGAGCTGCACACAGACCGGGGGTCAACAAAAGGCGTCAGGTTTGGAGACCAGAAGACCCACTGCCGCGGCAAGGAACATCTGGAGTCGTTTGCCGGATCTGCCGGATAAAACAACTACGTCGGAGAAACTGGAAGACTGCTCCGGAAACGAATTGCCGAACACGCGGCAGCGGTGCGGAGAACTGACGCCAATTCTTAGGTGGCGGCCCATTCGATGAGACCCGGCCAAACATTCAAACTCGATGAGGCCGAAATTCTTTCGAGAGGGGATAATCGCGTGAGTCGCGAATTGCTCAAGTCATGGTTCACGGGACCTCAGTCTATCAACAAGTGCAACGACATTCCTACTCCATACTCCGTGCTGAGCCATAGGCTGGTCAAGGTAATTGACCACTCAGGGCGCGCGCAAGCCGGTGAGCCAGGTGACCGAGCCATCGTCACATCAGTATCCAACACGGCTGATGCGATTTCAGCAATTAACCACTTGCATGCCGGCCATCAAGCAGTTAACGCAGCAGCGGGCAAAAATCTTCGATTAAGGGGACAGCTGTCAATTATCTCAGGTATGCAGTAGCACAGCGACTGCATCCTATGAACACTGCCACCTCCTGTGTACCGATCGCCCATATCTGTTACTGCCTTTGATGATGCGTTTGGGCGTGAATCTGAAACTTCAGGCGAATAAACTTCTTTGCGCCAAACTTTAGCCGCTAAATGAAACTCACGTATTCGCAGGACCTGAACTCACCCAAAGTTTCCCTTTAGGGTAACGACTAACCGGAATGAGCCCTCTCGAAAAATGAGCTCTCAGTACCTGTCGAAGATATTGTACTTCAGCAACCTTGACTTCCATTTCAAAGCACTGACTTAGCGCCCTAACACAACTGCGCTTGTGACCAATGGGGTGTTTACTGTTAAAATTCATTACTTGCATCATGTTTATCACTTTCCTGAACGGTTTGGTTTTTAGGTCA